ATGGTGACGCAGCCTGGAAGTAACAGAGCTGGGCCTCAGAGGCTTAGCTACCTGTGTTTCATATGCTTTTTTAAAAAGTGGCCCAAGGGATGGGATGTAGAGCATTCCAGTAGCACAGGATTTGGGTTTTCCTTGTCACTTAAGCTGTCCTTGGAGGGTAGGGAGGAGCTTGGATCCTGGGACCCTGGCAGGACTGGTGTTTCTAACAGTTCCCCATGTGGGTGGCCACTGGCCAGGTGGTGCATGCTGGATTCCCTAAGGCGGTCTGACCAGAACAAAAGGGTATGTTGCTGAGAACCCCAGGGCACAGAGCTCAGGGGATGAATGAGCCTTGCCTGACCCAAATGGAGAGCCACTGCTCTGCAACTGNTTGTACAGAATTTTCTCTTTCTCATTTGCTCCTCCCTGTATTCTCCCACCCCCCAAAGGGCTAACCATACAAGGACATGTATGAAAGTGCCAACCAAGTGATAATAGTAAAAGTAATTTCTTAATGGTAGGCAGGGGTTATTATTAGTTCTACTTTACAGGTGAGGAGATTGAGGCTCAGAAATGACTTGTCTATGGTGACGCAGCCTGGAAGTAACAGAGCTGGGCCTCAGAGGCTTAGCTACCTGTGTTTCACATGCTTTTTAAAAAAGTGGCCCAAGGGATGGGATGTAGAGCATTCCAGTAGCACAGGATCTGGGTTTTCCTTGTCACTTAAGCTGTCCTTGGAGGGTAGGGAGGAGCTTGGATCCTGGGACNTGCCCAAGACCAGCCAGCTTCTTACCCGGTCCACAGCCTGGTGACCCTGAACAGATACAAAATGCCTGGTCCTTGGTTGGGGACTGTGAGTGGTCAAGAGATAGAAGTCATGGTCGTACCTTTAAGAAATGCACAGCCAGTCCTGTGTTTCCCAGTGCTTCTGCAGAATTCTAGTCTTATGAACTGCTCAGTGGAAAAAGGATTCTACGATCCAGTACCTTTGGGAAATGATGCATATGATATCTCGTTCTTGAAAATTCATAATATATGAAAACATATTAAAGGATCTGAGAAGTCTTGCAGTAAAGAAAAGTATTTAACATTATTTAACTCAGCTTTCCCCAAACATATTTAACCATAGGTTCTCCCTTTTTAAAAAAAANAGAGCTCAGGGGATGAATGAGCCTTGCCTGACCCAAATGGAGAGCCACTGCTCTGCAACTGCTCTCAGAAGTGTAAAGCTTCTTTGCTGAAGATCTGGAGCTCACCAGGACGAGGCTCAATGGCACGGTGTGTCTTGTGATCCTTCTAAGGAGCACGAGGTACTGGCCTTGCATGAACTCCCACCAGGCCAGGGCCTCACTGGGACCCCCAGAAGCTGAGACCCTAGAGAATTCAGGCATCTCTGCAGAGCAGAAGAATCACCCTCAAAATCTAAATGAAAGCAAGGGATTGGGTAGGATGCAAGGAACAATTTCTTGACTGAAATGGGGAGGAAATAACCAAGGATATGGGAAGGGTAACAGAGAGGCTGAAGCATGCTTGCGGGAGAGAGGGCTTGGGAATGTGGTATGTGGCCCTCAAGGTTACGCGCTGTCTGAAAAAGAGAAGAGGAACTGATGAGAAGGCAGGTGAATGACTATTTGAGGTTAATGTGTATGAGGATGACATATCGGTCAATAAGCATTCACTGGAATTTGTATCTTTGATTTGGTTCATTCATTCATTCAAATATTTTATCGAATGTCTATATTTTACTAGACACTGTTCTAGAAGCCGGGGAAACAGCATCGATACATTGATAAATATGCATAATTATAATCTGTAAATGTGAATTTA